CCAAACCAGAAAAGTCAGCACAAAATCAACAAAACAATATATAATTTTTTTTCTTTTTTTGCTTGTAATACAGGGGATATAAAAACCCCAAAAAATCAGAATGTCAAGGGGGAAGGATATTTCTTTTCTCTCGAGAAGAATAATCAGATTGTAAAAAGGGGGCTTTCTCTTTTTCTTTTTACGGATAACACAAGCAATAGAACCATGATTTTTTAAAAAGGTCTCTTTTCTTTTGTTTTTGATTTTGGCAGCAACTTAGCATATTTTGTAACAAAAGAGTAGAGGGGAGAGTGGTTACCTAGTTCGTCGGATCTCGCCGGAGTATGGGTGCTTTCACCATCAGGGTTAGGAGATCGAAGGGTCGGTCTCTTTTGGTCATCATTCATAGCTGACATGTAGCTTAGGGGACTCTCTTGGGTCGTTTAAATTAAAATGAAGAAGATTAGGTTCTTAGGGGACTCTCTTGGGCTTTGGTTGAGGAACCTATGTTGAGTGTGGGTTTTGGAGATGGAGAACCGAGGGGTTTCGATTCATTTACGGGAGACATGGGCCTTCGCCCGTTGTATGGGGTGTCGTTTGAGAGGGGAAGTGTCGGCGAATCATTGGTCGGCCATTTGGCCCTTCGATTTCTCGGTCGTGGATAAGAGAGTGAGGATATGAGAAACATGTGTGACGGTTGAATGTTATGTTTAGTTTAGGCTTTGTTTTGGTTTAATATTAGCTTAGGTTTATGTAAAATCACCCCTTGGTCCCCCAATATTTGTCGTTTTTACATCTTAGTCACTAGGAGTTTTATTTTATTGTTTTTTTTTATTTTATCATCATGTTTTATTTTGTTATAATTTAGTCACTACTGTTATGCTATTTGTTTGGCATTCGTCACTGGCTTTCACATTGTTTCATTTTGGTCATTGTGTGATTCTATTTGGTTTTCTCTCTTTTATTTTATTTTTAAATATGATGCTTTAGTTCTAATTTATTCATTTTAATCACTGATTATTTCTGATTTGATTACTTTTTTATTTTGTTATAATATGATCAATATTTTTTATTTTAAATATAGTGGTTCTTTTATATATATTAATATATAACCCATGTTTTTTAATCACCATTTGTTAAGGTTGCAACTACTCTTGTATTCAACATTAATACTTGGTAAGATTTTGTTATACTCATATGTTTTCAAGAACACTCTATCGTAGAATGAGCGTGAAAAGCACTGCTTGATTGAAGTAGTGCGATTAGACACTACATTTGAACAAAAAATGAACTTGAATTAAGTAGAGTTTATTTTTATAAAAAATGATAATTAATTCGCTTTTATTTTAATGATGCAATGCATGTTTCTTTTAAATAGTAAGTTATTTCATGATATTACTAATATTAAATTTACATTTGATTTGCACTTTTTGATAACGTTGAGGAGGGGACATTTCTCGTATAAAGGAGAAATAGATAGGATAATCTTCCCATTGGGAATGTGCACATTTCTTCTCAAATTAAGGAGTGTTCCCTAATAATTAATTCAAAATAAATTAATTAATATTCAATAAAGGATCACACTTTAAATATTGATTCGAATTTTTTAATTTCTACCACGAAAACATAAAAGCGATTAGGTACCAATTTTTGGGTGTTGTGGGGTACTAACCCTTCCCCATGTGTAATCAACTCATGAATCCTTCGAAATGAATCTTTGATAATGCATACTATTTTTTTGTCTTAAAATGATTTTTCTTAAAATTGTTTTAAAGGAAATTTTTAGGTATTCAAGCTACCTAACCTAAAAGTCGATGGCGACTCCCAAATCAATTTAATAAAAATAAACACAAAAATTCAATTTTTCTCAAATAAGTTGTAATTTAGGGTTTTCATCGAAAACTTATTCGTTCGTCAAAAAAGACGTTACGACGCTCGTTTTTGGGCCATGACTATATATTTAGGACTTTTGGTGCCGGAGTTGCTGATTTAGTGTTTTTTTCTCATGTGATGCTATTTTGTGTTTGCAGGAAAAAGTTGACCATGGATGAGATCCATGATATATGTGGACAACGTGTTATTGTTGAAAATGTGAACGACTGTTACAAGGCACTGAGAGTAGTACACCAGCTATGGTCTGAAGTACCTGGAAAGCTGAAGGACTATATAACTCATCCGAAATTTAATGGGTATATAATAGCTTAATATGTCCTGGTATTGTTCTCTAGGTGGAAGCTATAAATGCTGAAGACCCTTCGAATACCATCTTAATTTTTAAGGTATCAGTCCTTGCACACACTAATGATAGGTGAAGTTACAGTTCCATTTGAAGTTCAAATTCGAACGAAGGAGATGCATTTGCAAGCTGAATTTGGCTTTGCAGCTCATTGGAGATACAAGGAAGCTGACTGTAAACACTCCTCATTTGTACTTCAGATGGTTGAGTGGGCTCGATGGGTTGTGACTTGGCACTGTAAAACAATGAGCAAGGACCGACATTCAATTGGCAATAACAATTCCCTCAAACCTGCCTGCACATTCCCTATGTATTCAGATGATTGCCCATTTTCTTATAAGCCACACTGCCACCTGTCTTTGTTATAACGATTGAAAACGATAAGGTATGTTTCTTAAACGGTCATGTTGGCATGGTCATTATGTGTCAAATTCTCAAATGATGTCTCTCCAATCAAACGAAAGACAAAGGTTAAGTTAATCCATGCTTTCCAAAGTAAACATGAGAAAGAAATAACAGTTCATGTGCCATTAACCCCTACATCTATATTTCATGACTGCTGCTGATGTCGGTGCATTAGTTGGAAGTTTGGTCTGAATGTTTATATTTCGTGAATGCTGTAGATGTCAGTGCAAGAGTTTCCTGCAAACTCAACAATGATGGATTTGCTGGAAAGAGCTGAACGGGGGATCTCAATATCGTCTTCTCTTACATTTCCTGCTAAGGAAGAGTTGAGGCCGAGGCTGAACCACGAGCCCTTGAGTGATCCTACATGCAGGCTGAAGATGGGTGATGTGGTGGAGCTAACACCAGCCATTCCTGACGAGTATTTGACAGAGTATAGGGAAGAGATACAACGCATGTATAACCGAGGTCTCCCTGTTTCCAGTGCTGGGCCTTCAGCTAGTAGTATGGTTGCCTCAAGAACTTGACCCTCTATTATAAACACCCAAAATATGAAAACAAAGAAATGGGATTCTTTCCTTTGTACATAAATGATAAATAATAAGCAAAAGTGACATGGCTCCATTGTTGGAATCATTTGCCAACTTGTTTCAATAAAGGACATAACACTTAATTTCCCAATCGTTTCCTCCATGAACGCAATAATTGTACGTTGAATTTTCATAACCCCACAATAGATTTGCCGTTAAAACATGGGATAGCAGGTGTCCCAGTGTAAAAACATAAAATATATGTGGGGCGGCCATTGACACCTGATGTCCATGACTCCCCCAATAAGTGTGATTAACTTACCAAATTAATCAGCCTTATCATGTCCAGAGAAGCAATGGGGCAAAGGCAAAGAATAAAATTGAATGACGGGTTCCTTATTTGGTTGTCATCAATCAGCAAAAGATAGTCGACTCCTTTAACAACACACCAGCTCATCACTGCTAATACTTTGACCCTATCTGCTATTAAATGATTTTAAAGTAGCACCCCCCCCCCTCCCAAAAAAAAAATCCTGAAAAGCTGATCGTATCCAGGAAAGTTCAGGCTCTCGTCTTAATGAGTTTTGTTCTCCAAATTTACATGGTCAAATGGTCACCTTTAAAGGCTAACCAAATTATTAAACGAAACAAAGAGAGTACTTCCAATTTGTTCCATCCACCGATTGTGTAACAGAACAAGCCAAAATCTGTACCAATCATCTCTATGGCAGCGTTGCTTAGAACTTCTTAAATTTCTCACACTATCACATCTTAAAGAAAAAGGAAAGTGTATTTTCAGCTTTCAATAACATAAAAACTAACATGGTTAATAATCAAGCTAGATATTGGGCTACCACCCCATTGGCACATTCTAGCCAACCATTCTGGTTCAGAAATTTGTATCCTTTCTGACCAATGATTGTTTGTAGAAACACATGAAAGTAGACCTAGAAGACCACAGACAAGAATCGATATAGCAGTTTTGCCTGTTTGACTTGGACAAGTAGAGATTATTGCCAAGTGATAACCCAAATGAAATAGCTCTATTCTAGGTATGTTGCAGATTTCTTGATGTAATTTTACTAAGAATCAATGAGTACAATTCAGGTTCATGAACAGTTTGCAACTTTACAACCCTCGGAAATTTCCAATGCCAAAACTATCTCCATCTCATCACCTAATTCCCACCCCCAAAAGACTAAAAAAAAGCATCACAAATTCCAAAATCAGTAATAATTAAGCAGTTTAATCATCCTAGGTGGTCTAGCGTCCATATATATAATCCGAAAGGCCAGTTCCTAAGCTTCCCATCAATGTCATTAACAAATTCTTGGCTTAGTGCAAAACTCAGTCTCAAAGGCATATCAAGAATGGCCTATCGAAGAATGTAATATCCATTTTTATTAAACATACAATAAGTTATGCAAGGAAGTTCCATGTCAAAACAGTTCCGGATTAGGAAAAAACTATCAGAAACTTATCATTCATCACCTCTAGACAACATTACTCTTAACTTGAAGCTCTTGCTGAACCAAGCTTCAGAATCTGTTGTGCTTTTCCTACTATTATATCTCCTGTCGTATATCCCAAGAGCAAATGCATTTGATGCAACTAAACCAATAACTTTTGCATCACACAAATACATAATCATGTTGATAACGATACAAGAAACATTCCTTCTTCTTAGAATTATAGGCAAAAGGCAAGATACAAGATAAATAAATATGAAAGAAAATGTTCACCAAATCCACTTGAGGTAAAAGTTGAAAGCTTTTCTTTTCTTCCTTGTAGAATAACAATCCAAGTAGACAGATACAAGATAATCCAGGGAAAGAATAAACAGTCAAAACAGCAAAAAAAAAATTAAAAAGAAAAAAAAGTAAGTGAAAGATCTACCCATTTACAGAAGATCTCAGCAAGGACACAAATCTGCAGTATTCGTAATCCCTTTCTCAGTTCATCAGATAATTTTCTTTTTCTCAATCCAACAAAAGAAGTCCCTAAAAATGAATCGAATTGCAACTGTAACCCAAAAACTTGGGGGAAATTCCAATTTCATGAAGAAGAAGAGGAAGTTTCGTATGTTCCTGCGCCATTGACTTTCAACAGCTGCCTTCTCTTCAAAATTAAGAACCCAACAACACCAAACTGCAGGATGATAGCAATGCTGATGAACAAAAGCCCAATTTTTTGCCCCGTATTGAGCTTGTGATTACGTGACAATTGTGGTGGCTGCCCCCAACTATGATGATTGGTTCGATTCTGGTGGTGCTCTGCTGGCGGCGGTGGCTGAGAAGGCGCTAGATGAGGTGGTGGTGAAGGTGATGGTGGCTGCGAAAATGGAGGAGGAGGAGAGACGGGTGGGGGTGGGGGCGAAGGTGGCGGCGGTGGTGGGGGAGGAGGAGGTGGAGGTGGAGGCGGAGGCGGAGGCGGCGGAGGAGGAGGCGGACTTGTGTTAGACGATTGTGATTCAACAAAATACGCAAAAACTGTAAAGAAAAAGACGAAACTTAAGAGCACTAATTGTAATAATGATTGTTCCATAATAACAAAAAGCTTATCTTTGGGGGGTTTAAAATCAAGGATTTTGGTGCATTCTAGCTTCTGGGCATGACCCAAAATTCTTGCCTGTGCTTCTTCAGGTTTTCTTGACAGAGTTACAACATTAGCTGGATTCCTGCATCTCTTTGAGAAATCAAGCCAATGGTATCTTCCAATTCCTAGACGTATTCAACTTCTGTTTCTACAATTAAAGACCTTGGGGATTCGTTTATTGCAAAGGTGGAGACTTTAGTTCGTTGAATTTCTTGGAATTAGAAGAATTGAAATTTAATTCACTTTCTCATGTTTAGTTTAATTTTTTTAAAGAGAAATTGAAATTCAATTCCATCAAGGGAATGAAAATAAATTTAATCCATAATGTAATTGAAATCTTTTGGATGAGGGAATGTGAAATTTGACCTTACTACCCTCATCAATCTTTTAGTATTCGGGTCGTTTTTTTTTTAAATTTTGGGATCGGGTCGGATATTTTTAAAAATTTTGGGTTCGGGTCAGGTTATTTTAAGTGTGATATTCGAGTCGGGTTCGGGTTTAGGGTGAAAAAATACTCTACTCGAAAAAATATATAATTTTACTTTATATATTTAGAAATAATTACAATAATACCCCTCTATATATATTTTTTTTAATTAAGTCACTGTTTTTATTGAATAAAAATAATTTTTATTATTATTTCGGGTCGGGTCGGATAAGGTGAAACTTTATTTTGGTCGGATCGGTCGGGTCTTGGGTGGAGGTTCCCTTGTTCTCGGGTCGGGTGGACCAAAAACCCGACCCAACCTGATGGTCATCCCTAATTGGGATGATTTTAACTTATGATGTTTATTAGTATGATTTTTATAATTTATTGAAATGAATAATCAATCAATAAAATAAAATTTTAATATTTTTTAAATTTTTATAATATATTGTTACATGTAAGTTATAAAACAAACTAAAATTAAGCAAAAAAAACAAGAAGGGTAATTTTGTCATTTTACATTATTGAAATCAAATTCATCTTACATGTCTGCGAACCAAACAGAATATGAAATTAGATTCCAATTCAATTTCATGCCAACCAAATAGGTTTCAGATTCAGATTCCAATTCCTACAGATTTTAATTCCTTCACATATTCTAATTTCCTAAGAAACATTCCAGCGAACCAAACACCACCTAAGGCTTACAAAAAGTCCATAGAATTGAAACATTAAATGGGGGGTTTATCAAACTGTGCCTAAGAAAGAGATGTTTTTTGAGCATTGGTATTTGTATTCCCCCCTGTTCGTAGGGATTTATGGGGAAGATTTGGGCAAATAATATGGCCCGTCTGGTTCAGGGTATAATTTATTCCTAGGAGTAATATTTTTTTCCTAGGAGAATATACTCACCTTTGGATCAATCATATTACCAAGTGCCAGGAATGAAATAATACCAACAGTGAATTTTTAGTCAGCTTTTCCGGGAATATCTATCCCCCGCCTCCCTTAGGTATTTGGTTATTCCCGTCCTCTGTTGGCTAAAATACCCTCTCCCCGTAAGCTTGCTTCTGCGAAGGAACTTTGAGCTCTTTGAAGACTAATGCAAAAGCAAAAATGTCAAACTCAAATGCCCCAGAGTGAGTGGTACAAGGATGAATCGGAGTTGGAAAAGAAAGTGTTTGGAGAGGAGGGGAGGGGGGAAAAGGCTGTAGATGTTAGAAATGTGGAGGAGCTGAAGAAATTAGCCGAGAAGAAGATGGAACTTGGGGGAAGATTGATGTGCCAATACGCTAAAGATTATGAATCATCGAAAGGAATGTCTGGGATATGAAGATGGTTTTGGCTAGTCAGATGTTAGGGACGACTGCTGATAAAGTTTTTGCCTTTTCATTCTTGGTTACGGATAATCCTGTTGCTAATTGTTGATCTGCTATTGTTCAAATTGCAGGGTTAGTAACATCAATAGTGTTTTTATGTTTCTAGTTTTCAGGCTGTGACGTATTCTGGTTTTGTAAATCCCTGCTTTTGTTCCTGTTTTCTCTATTGTTGCTTGCTAGATGATGGATCTTGAGGGGGAAATCCCATGAGATAATCTCAGATTTCTTTTAGATAGAATAGACCTGAAAGTATAAGTTGAACAAAGTATAAAACTTTTGTATGATATTTAGTGTTGCATTTTCTTTTAATTCAAAAAGGAAATAGATGTTACCCTTTATTTCATGCAGCATATTCTTTTGCACCTTGAAGTAACTATCATGAGAATTTCTTTTGTAATTTTCGATCTCTGTCAGATGTTATGTTTTACAAGCTCAATTCTGCATCCATTAATTTCCTTTTACATGAGGCTTTGAAAATAACTGGTGTCATCATCCTAATTGCTATTGGAAGCCTTTGAAATCTAAGGTGAGCGCTTTATAACTGGATTATATAGACTCTTTCATTCTAATTATGGAGTTTTTTGTTTTCTGTATCCATGGCACGTAGAGTTGTGGTTGTTCTATTTCTGGTATTGGATTGGGAGGTTCTTTTTTGTTGTAAAAATTAGAGGAAATTTTACATTTGATTCATATGAACACAAAGATAGACATTAAAATTTTGTATTAGAGGAAATTATGGAGGTTATGTTTCTGGTATAGTGGTGTTGTTACTGCTTTGCATTGTGTAACAAGAAGAGAGGTTATGGAAGTACAAGTTGAAAATTAAAATGTGCGTATAATAGTTACATAGATAGACATTGCTCTTCACCAATCAGTTTTTCTTTATGAAATTGACAATATACACATATGCATCAATTCACACCAAACATTGTTTGCCTCTTTTATTTCCCTTTTTACTTTTACGCATGCCAAAACAATTCTCAGTTTCTCGTTTATTTTAGAGTGATTGTCTAATGGTAGTGGCTGTAAGATGTGCCAGTAATTCTCAGTGTGAACTTTGCTATGAAGAACTATTTGAACGTTGATCAGAGCTTTATCTAGTGGCTAATATATTCTGTTACTATGGCAGCATGAATTTCCAGAAATGATCTTACTATGAAGCTTTGTTCTGCCATTCTGCCTGATCCAATTCTGAGTCCTTTACATTGATTCTTGGGATGTTGTTGGAATATACTGGAAATGATTTGTAGGTATCGTATTTTTCTTCAACTTTGAACTTCTTCTGAGACAACCTGTATGTTCTGCAGCTATGACAAATCAACAGCTAATGGATAGAGGAAACCAGATGATGGATGAGACTGATCAAGCCATTGACAGGGCTAAGAACGTACAAACTTTTGATGCATTACATTTTGTTAACAAACGTTGCATTTTCCTCAACCTAGAAATGATTTCTTTATTAGTTATTGTCATCCTTTCATTCATATTTTATTTATTTAACATCATATATTAACCGACTAGCAGAAGCGGAGAAGGAGCAGCGACCAACAGATGATTGCAACCAGGTAGTTGAAAATGAGAATAAAGCTGACCCCGATTTAGGAAATGCTGGTAATCAATGGTGGGGGATCATAAAGGAAATCCAGATGATTGTTTTCGGCTTTATCACGTCCCTCCTCCCAAGCTTCAACAACATAGAGTAGGCCATACTTCAGAGAACTGACAATCTTTTCCTTGCTAATTAATCATACGAGTAAGAGAAAAAGTTGAAATCGAAGTTTATGTATGTGCAGTCGTTGTACGATGCTTGGTAGCCCCACTGCATCTGTAACAGGCATTTCTATTTTATTTATGAACTAGCATGCTTTATGTCGTTATTTTGTAGTTGAAATAGCAAGCAAAGGAGATGCAGATTTCTTTGTAATACAACTATGGAACGAGAGGCTGACTTCATTTATGGATTTTGTTTTCTTGACAGAGTTTTGTGTCAATTCTATTGTTGCTTACTTGACCGTTATTATTTATTATTCATGTCAACATCTAAATCGATTTATTATTCATACGGAATCTTATAATCTGAGAATATCTTTTTATAATATAATAAATATTATATCTTAGATAACAAAAAAAAGTTACATTTTTTTATTATTATGAATATCTATGAAGAATTTTTACAATGTAAACATTTTTACATAAAATATGTAAAATTTAATATTAATTAAAATATCTTGAATTATAAACATTTTTATTTACATCTTTTTATTATTATGAATATTTTAGTTAAATGTTGATGTCTAATTTTAATATATTTTTACATAAATTATGTAAAATTTAATATTAATTAAAATTAAAATAATATATGATATATTTAAATACTCAAGTAATATATTATCAACAAATAGAATTTTTTTATAAATAATTTTTATTTAAATATTTAGAATTTCACTTGTTAAAAAATATAAAACAATGACAATTTGGTAAAATATGCATTTCAGTAATATTTTATTCTTTCAACCAAACACTGTAATCTTACATTCCTGTCAAACCAACCAAACACAGTAATGTAATATTCTCAGTAATCCTATTATCTGATAATCTTTTATTCCCACTGATAATCTTATATTCCGTGAACCAAACGCACCCTTAAGGCTTTACAATAATAGGTTTATTCAATTTCTGGGAAAAAGAATGGGTCAAACAGGTTGGTGACAGATTAGGAAAACATCAAAAGAAAAAGTTTCCTTTTTTTTCTCACCGTCTCACTCAAATCTCATCTTAATTATTATATATGATAATGTAGCAATCAAATTATTTTTATTTTATTTTATTTTATTTTATTTATAATATTAAACTTTAATATTTGGTTTTCGTTAAGTATCTGAAGTCTAATTCGATATATCAGTTGATATCACAATCTTAAATTAATTTGAACTCTAAAATTTACAATTCAAAATTTTAAATTATAAGTTTTAGATCATAACTCCCACTATAACTTAAACCTAAAAAAAGTACATATGATTAAAATATGCAAATTTCTGCTAATTAAAATTTACACAATATATATAATATATTTTCTTTAAATTTAATTAGATAAATACATTTTGTTAAAAAAGATAAATATATTTTGAATTTTAAAATTTTATTTATAAAAAATTAATAGTATATCATTTTAAATTACAATTTCAAAAATTAGTACTCTCAAATTAAAAATATATCCAATATATTTTATTACTGTTAAAAGCAGCTACACTGTTGTCAGAAGAGTTTTTTTTAGTTATAAATAAAATTATTTTAATAAGATAATCATTCGTTTTATTATATCACGGTGAAAT